CACACACACACACCCACAGCTCTAGTTGACAGGCCACCGCCCGTAGACACACACACACATACTCTGTTGACAAGCCCTCACCTGGATCCCGACTCACTCCCCTGGGGGGATCAGTGAAAGTGCAGGGGTACATCTGTGACAGGTGACCCAGTTCATTCAGGGTTTACTCCTCGCCCCTCGACTCATCCTGCTTTCTGGAGAGTCTGACTTTTTCAGGTTTGTCACTCAGAGCTGAGGTTATGAGATGGCCGGGTGTTTCATGAGGACATTTCTGCTCTTGACGTCTCCTGCGTGCCTGACTCTGTGAGAACTCTGAATGAAAAACTATGACGATGTTAAATCTAAAAATACATCACACGATCCTGTTCTTTCTACTTGCAACTAAATAAAACAATTAAATGTTACTATGATATATTTTACACAACTTGAACTTGAAGCTCTTTCAGCGCTCACATCCAGGCTCCAACACCTCAACCAGGTGCTCGGGCACCTCCGTCCAGGGTGAGCGGCTCGTTCCCTGGGGGCATCTTCTGTGCGTGACCTCCTCGATGACCCGCGCCTTAAAGTCCTGAGGGGATTTGATCCTGGACGCCATGGGGAACAACACCCTCTTGAGGATGTCCAAAGGCACGTCAGGGGCGTAACGAGGCATGCTCTCCCACTTGGTGATATACTGAGGCCGCCCCCCGCCACTGCTGTCCGTCCACACCATGACACTGTCATGGAGGTCAGGCCTGGATTCCCTCGGCCTTGGCTTGAGCTTCCTCAGACCCACATTAGATGTATCGTGATCGGATGAGAGGCACTTTGTGTGGTACTGGCTCACCATGACTTTGGGGGAGGAAGCCTTGATGTTGGGTAAACCTTTCTTGGCCGCCCACTCATTCATCTTCCTGTCTATAAGAATCTGAAATCACATATAGTGGAAGTGAAGCTAGAAATCTGGATTCCTGAATTCAGGTAATTTATGTGATGTCCTGTTTTACTGATTTACAACATACTGACCCTTTTGTTGAGCTCATTCAGTTTGGCCTCGGCAACAAGATCCCTGTATAGAACCCGAACTTGCTTCCTCTCCTCCATTTCTCTCTTCTTCTCTGCCAGCCACACGCAGCCTCTCAGATACCTACACAGACAAGTCGTGTTTTAAGCAACTGAAACTTGTTGGACTTTTGATTTTGCCGTGAATTGTTCCTCCAGCTTGTTACCTCCCTACGTCTCTGTGGGACCAGACGCGAGCCAAATCCAGAGGTGTGTGTCCCATGTCGTCCTGGGCCATCACATCTGCACCGGCCTGCACGAGGATCTCTACGCAGTCCAGGAGGCCTGCGGCAGCTGCGTGGTGCAGCGGTGTTTGCCCAGAGTCTGTGGTTCTGGTTAGAAATGATGAAACGTTATTATCTTATTTGTGGCTGTTCATCATCATGTACTGAATCATTCATCTGACTTCTTATTCTCTCTATTTTCATCTCTGAGATGTATTTTGAGGAACATTTCAAAATAAGGCCCCTACACACTGATGTCTGCTCCGTTCTCCAGCAGGAATCTGAGACAGGCGGCGGACTTGGGCGAGCTCTGGGAGGACATGACCATGTGGATGGGCCGGCGCCCCTGAGGATCGCTGCTGTCGAGCTCGTCCAACGTGGTCTTCACCAGGACCCGAAGAGGACCCAGCTGGCCGTAAAGGCAGGCCATGTGGAGCGCAGACAGACCCTGGAGGACCGAACACACAAAGTGTCGTCTCAGTACTGTTTAATTCATATGCACAACCTTTTTTTCCTACATGACCTGAGCTCACACTGAGTCAAAGCACCTGAGCAAAGACGAGTGAGAGGGCGATAATGACCAATAGGCTTTTCTCCACAGATCTTAGTCTGAGCAGGAAAAGCACAAGCACAACTGATGACATTAACAATGGCTGCAGTAAGTCATGCTCTCGCTGACTTAAATGGTCGAAGGCCTTCACTGATAACATCTCTCACACCCGTGCTTTTCCTTCACACGAACGTTGGCGTGTTCCCAACGTCCCAACTCAGGAAAATGGGACTTTCTGAGGAGCACATAAATGCACCTTCAGGTTTGTCACTGTGCTGTGAAAGAGGAAGTGATTCCTCTCCAGCCAATCAGCTGCAACCTGAGGACCTGAGCACACCTGCTCACCAGTGAGCTGAGCTGCTGAGGTGTTTGAAAAGGAAACATGGAGGATAACTGAAGATGGTGTGGAGATATGTGCAGGACACTGCAACCTCACCATGGGTGGGAATCCCTGAACAAGGCCCCATGACACTAACTCTCTAGCAGAAGCTTCTGGATTTCAAAGGTTTGGTTGAAGTCTGGTTTTTCTAAATGTATGTGTGTGGTGGAGGTGTGCACTTTACTACTTTCTTGTGATACTAGAGGGATCGTTTGGAAGATTGAAATGATGTGGGTCGGTTTGGTTTCAGGTTTTTTTTTCTAAACATCACCACAAAACGCTTTTTTCCCCCCAAATCCGATGACGTGTGAACCCTCCTCGCTACGTTTGCATGATGCACGAGCAACTCACACATGTTGAACTTTCCTTTGCATCGCTATCGATGAACACGACATCGATAAGTTTTATCCTGCAGCGCTAGATGTGTCTGATGATTTCTGCGCTTTGCATGAAGTCAGCTGATAATTCAAAAACTATTCGTGGTATTAATTTATCTCATCAAACTGAGTGTGTACCTGAGTGTGTGTACCTGAGTGTGCACCTGTGTGTGTACCTGGGTGTGTACCTGTGTGTTAACAAAGAAGTCCAGCTCCTCTGATCGGCCTCTGGCAGCTGCGGGGAACGAGCGTCTGTCCCGGGGAGATCGGTGGGAAACGTTCCTGCAGACAGAATCGTGCAGACTAATAAATACTAAATAAATTCAAGCTTCAGTGTGATGTATAAGTCACGTTCTGTGGTAAGTTTACTAATTAAAATACTTAGAATCACTGCTTTAACAGCTTTAACAGTCCACCTCTACTTCTGTTGTTTCCTTTTACAGCCGCTAAAATATCAAACTACAGCGAAATCAGCTCAGCTTGATTCATGCACATTATTTAAATTGTCTTATATATAGAGTAAATATAAAACTAGAATAAACTATTCAAATAGAAAAAACATATTTTACCTTCGTCTCCGTTTTCCGGGTTTCTTGTTATTTTCCATGGTTGCCGTGGTAACACAGGAAACCGCCCCGATTCCCCCGCAGGGTCGAAGTAAGAGTCCGGATACTCAACTGAGAGTACACTCCCAGTATAGTAGTAGTACAAAGTATCTCCATCCAAGGTAAACAGCTCGTGCAAAACAAAGGAAAACAGACACAGAGTCTGAGAATCCAACAAAAACACATTGAAAGAAACTTGAAGACACCAGTAATGCACTTTAGGAGCAGAGAAGAAGGAGAAGAAGACACAGTATAGCCTTTGTTCTTCTTCTTTGATCATGTAATGGTCATTCTTCTGTCTCTTGACTAAAACTGAAAGTAAATCCCTCCTCTTGAGTCCATTATGTTCAGTAAACGTGAGTTTACATGTGACTGTGGCAGAAAGACACAGACAGATGAGTGGCTGCAGGCCGGGCAGATACTTCATCCTCGTACCCGCTCTCTCCTCCTACGTCTCTGCCTGTGCCTGTATGGTATTGACAGTGCGTCAGTAAAGCAGATCACTCTCATAGCCTCGCAGCATGTGGAGGTCTGACTGGAGCGTTTGTTCCGATGCCTCACGCGTGGCAGCGAGGCCTGGACGTGGAACGCTCATATTCTCTGTGTCTCTCTGTGTCTCTCTGTGGCTGAGGGTCGATGGGCTCATGGAGGATAAGGCCTCTCTGGTCACAGCTATTTACCCCTGACTGAACTGAGTGTGATGGACTGCAATTGAGAGGGTATATGTACAGTATGTGATGTTGGGAACAATGTGTGTCAGGGCAGAAATAATAGAGTGTGAGGTCGAGATGTGAGAGTGAGCGATTATAAATCGGAGAAACACATTCGAGGGGTGTTTGGGTTTTTAGTTTTTCTTTATTTCTTTAATTTGTGGATCTTGATGACACAAATCAGACGTATTCCGGGGACTGATGTCCATGAGTGTGTGAAATGTGCAGCTCGATTGAATTCATGTGAGCAGGATCTATGCATCTATGCAGTAAACATGATTATTTATCATGACCCTTAGAATTTTTAGAGAAATTGAACAGCTCTTTTATTTTGTTTTATTGTTTTCAGTGAATGTCTGGAACTTGTTTTATTTCTCCTTCTACTTGCCTTAAACCAAAAGTTGTACAATATCATTAGCACTCAACAACTCGGTCACCATGTATTGTTCTACATTTACACAAAAACATATTAATATTTATTAACCCTGTTTAAGCCTCAGTCTTTCAGCGTCAGTGGCACCTGTGTGTGTATAGTTTTTTATTCCGATCTTTAATTTGTGTCCATCAGGCTCCAGTGGAGGGTCAAGGACGGGCCAGCGACCCCCAGCTTTCTGCTCCCAGCTCCAACCCCCCAGAGCCTTCGCCTTCATCACAACACGGCCACGCAGCCATGCCAGTGACTCATGCATGCAAGTGCACAGAAAGAGTGAGTCCATCTGTCAATTTGTGTGTGTGTGTGAGAGTATATACACATTAATGCGTACTGTGTGTGTTTGTGAGTGTACAAGGGTCAATAGCAGGGGAAGAGCATGGCCCCTCTGTGGCCTCAGTGGCTTCCTAAGACCTTGGTCACATGTCAGAGAGGTTGTACGGAGCCATCGGTGTAGAGCTCTTTCATGTTTGATTTTCAGCACAAGTCCCATTAGGCCGACCTCCGACATGACCTCTTTCCTTTGACAGTTGTGTGTGTGTGTGTGTTGTGATTGTCCATGTACTGTCAAATGCGCTCTGCATGTGATTGTGTACTCTTTAAAAGCTCCAAACCGTAAAAAGCTTTCTGACGTGTGACGGCCTGTTGCTTGTTTTCGTAGAAATCTAGACAAGAGCAACTGTTTATCTGTTCCCTCTTGACGATGCATATTACTACACAATGAAACGTGTGTGTGTGTGTGTGTGTGTGCGCATGCTTTAGCTACAGCACATGCAGTTTGTGTGGGGCAGATTAGCAGCGGGCCGATCAGAGCTGTCTAAACCTGCTTAGGGCGAGGATGAAAATGAGATCATGTCCCAGCATCCTCCTGGCGGGCACTCCCATTGGCCCGTCACATCATCCAATCGCACCCCATCTGTTTTTAATTGGCGGCACGATACGGGCTTCTGCCTGGCTAGTGGCACCTGACCAATTGGCCATCAGGTCACATTGCAAAACAGGGATAGAGATGCAGTTGGCCCAACAGTCAGCTGTTCTCATGCATAGGAAATATCATTAATAAGTGTTTTAGAACTTGTTCTGTATAAAATCTCACCCGACCACTGTTGTTTATTTCCTTTGTAGTTTAAAGATTATTTTTTTGCATATCAGTCTTTAAGGATGGTAAGAAGGATTACTACTAAAAAAGAGGCAAGCAAAAACAATCCTTCCATGGGTTCTTATAGGATTTAGTCTTACAATAATGGATCTTTAATGCTCTGTAGGTTTGGAATAACCCTTTGGTTTGAACTGCAATGAAAGCAGGTTGATTTCACTGTTATAGTTCCTGACGAGATTTAAATTTAGAGGCAGAAATGGACGTAGATCAAGTTGTAACTGTAAAAGATAAGTGTGGAGAGGCAGGGGTTCTTCAGTTTTCTTTTGAAAATAAACTAGTCACTCATTAACAACACTAATAATGTAATCTGTTGTATTTTTGTTGCTTTTTCGAACTTCACAATGTTGGAATAAGGAACAATTTAAAATTGTGTATGTAAACTGTGGCCCCTTAAGGCCCCAGATTTTGAAAGATCCTAGATCTGCCACTGTGGTGAAGGGAAACCGTGCTCTAGAAGAGAGCGAGAGAGAAGAGGAGTTGAAAAAGTGACAGTGTGGAGGAGAGAGAAGGAGATGATGAGGAGTAGATACCAGAGCAAACATACAGCCTCGATGTTCCTTCATATTTGATGATCCATCTTACAAGGACCCTGTGCCCCTGGGGCTTCTGAACTCTGCTTGTGTGTAAGTGTGCTGATGCCCTCACTTTTCCTCCTCCTCCTCTTATCCTCCTTTCCCCTCTTTCTTCCTCTGCTCCTCCTCGCCTCCCTAATCTCTCCGCCTCTCACTCCATCCCTCATAGCTCCTCCTCCTCTTTCTTTATCCTGACTCCCTCCTCCTCCTCCACGCCTCATGCTCAGCCAGGCGGCAGCGTGCTAATGCACCATGGCACATTCTGCAGCTCCAAGTCACAATGCGACCAGGCTTTGCGCAGTGACCGCACAGCGACCTCCCTCAGCATCATCACTGCATGCGCACACACACACACACACACACACACACACACACACACAGACACACACACAGGCCGCTGTGCTGCACCTACCAGGGCCAGTTTAGGATGGAGTCGATGGGTCGATTGGGTGTTTGGGGTGTGGGGTTGGCAGAGGATGAGGTAGGGTTCTACCGCTGACGGGTACGATCAGATCA